CTCATCTCTGTCAACTTCAATTATTCTTCTGAATAATAACTATAAGACAGATTTCTTTAATGTTCAAACTCATCACAAATATTGTAAGAAATAACTATCTGCCTGCATGATATCACAACATTTGACCTTTCATCCATCAAACAAATACGTATTCAATGTCTATACTTGCAAGGTCCTGCTCCTGCTTATATCTATGTTACTGAAAAATAGCAAGTGATGATTGATATATTAGATGGAACATTTAATTCAGCAGAGAGGATTATAAATACAAAACAACCAAAGAACAAGGCAGTATGTCACAGTTGCCTCACAAGGATATGAGTTTGGGGCTAATATTACTAAGAGTCACAGAGTAGAGACTAGAATGCACATGTACTTTGTCTAATGCCCTATTAATAAATTAATCGATAAGCATTTATTAAATACCAACTATATGCCAGGTACTAAGCTAGGCACTGGAGATACAAAGACAAAAATGAAATGGTTCCTGCCTTCAAGAAGCTTAATATTAAGCAAGGCAAGTCATCACTCTGGGTCAGAGCTTCCACATCTCTCAACCAAATGAGTTAGATTAGACGATCTTGAAGTTCCATCTAGCAACATGGTTAGAAAAGATATAAAAGATGTAGGCTGCTAGAAAAAGGCTGCCCAGTTTTCTAAGTGACAGTAAATGTCCTTGCAGTTTGTGGAAAGGAATTCAATGGATCTTTGGGAACTAGCTGAGGGTATGAAATACTAAGTTCATATTACCAGTGACCCAGAATAACAAAAATTTGTAGGGACCAAGCTCAGTCATCAGGATGACTCAGAATTGTTACTCTCTCTTGGACTTGCACTCTCTCCACCCAGAACTGTCTCTGAAAAATCTCAAAATAAAGTTCACGTCTAAATCTCCACAGATATAGATTAAAAAGGTCCTCAGATCAAGGCAGCCAGGTGGCACAGCAGACAGAGTGCTGGACCTAGAGTCAGGAAGACTTGAGTTAAAATCTGTCCTCAGACACTTTCGAGTTGTGTGACCTTTAGCAAGTCATTTCATCTATGTTTGCCTCAGTTTCTTCATCTGTAAAATAAGGATAACAATAGCACCAGCCTTGCAGGATTGTTGTGAGGATCAAAAGAGATATTTGTGAAGTGTTTAGCACAGTGCATGGCACATAGTAGGCTCTATATAAATGCAAGCTATTATTATTATATCTTCAACGATAAATCAAGGTAAAATAAATTCCTTGACTTTAATACATCATCTCATAGAAAGAGAGGTTATGCTGCTATCTCTCCAAGGTTAGGATCAGGAATTTGAGGATTAGAACTTTCCTCTTGGCTCATGTGGGTGAGAGCATATAGATCTGCCCTCCCCTCCCCCTGCCCCCCCCGCTGTCTCTGTGCCCTAAGACAAGCACATCCCAAGCAATATTCCCCACTTAACGTTACAGTACGCAGCTCTATTCTTAGCTCTGTTGTGCTCTGCTCTATCCTCTGAAAGGCAGGAATAAAGGAGAAGGCTGAGTCTATGATGGAAAACACCCTTTTATAAGTCAGCATAAAGGGATGGCTCCTCTCACGAGAGACTGAGCTAACTGGTTATGCCTAACTACTGAAATCTGTCCTCCACAAAGCACCAAAAGGCATGTCCATGCTCTCTGTGGGAAGATATAGGCCTTATCACCCCACAAGCTCATCAAGTTAATTTGGGAACTCTCTTAATCAAACTCCTATTACTCTCAGGATCTTTCCCTCCAATCATTTTCTGAGGAAGGTAGGGTGAGTGTTATTATCCTCCATATAATAAATAAGCAAGAATTTACCACTGAATGAAAAGGGCAGTGGATGGTGAATGCTGAGTCCACTGTTAACCTTCGACTGATTCCCACCCTTTGTTAAATCCCCTTTTCACCTTGATGCTCTAATTTCTGATATCCTACTATGATATGAGTTTTGAGGTAATATGGAGTAATAGAAAGGAGCCATGTGAGGACATGAGGAGCACAGGGAGAGGGCAGCCTGGGTGAGGCAAGGTAGCTGCAGTTGCTCTGCCCTGGGGAGGAAGCAGTATCACTCGTCCCATGTTCCTACCTGGAGCATAATCAACTGACCAAAGCTACGTCAAGTTTTAGGAAAAACCATCTTTATTAAGCAGGGAAGTAGTATGATGAAAGCAGGATGGCAACGCTATAAAGGACACATAAAGGAGGGGAAATACTGGAGTCTGGGGAATTGTTATTCCATTACTGTGTATTATTTTGCATTTTGATTGTGTAAGTGCATATTCTGCTTCTGGTCTATAAGTGCCACAAGGCCGGAGATTGTGTCTTTTCTGAACTGTGTATCACTGACCAGCTTCCCTAATGGTGACATCAGGGTAGGGACTCTGAAATAGCATTAATACAGTCAAAAACCCAGATAGACAACCTAAGAGACACAAGTATTACTTATGCTCTCAGTCAATTCTCCCAGAGAACTGGCAATTATGCATGACATGCCGAGACAAAAAGGAAAATCACCCAGGAGCCTCAGGTCCCTATAACTGCTGCCGAGGCTTTCCCACAATTCACTTTGCATCCTCCTCCTTTGTCTCCCCCCCCATAGGGAAAGGCCAGCTGCTTCCAGGTTTTATGTGGTGACTTCAGGTAGTCCTGGTGAAGGAGAAAGTCTGATCCTTTCTGCCCCTGCAACTGAGCTACCCTTTCTTTCCTACTCACCCTGAAAGAAGCTAGCAATCTTTTTTTTTTTTGGTCTTTTTTTCCCCTCTATCTGGAATTTCAATGGTATAGAGAGGAGCTCTCTCCACCAATGCAGATCTACAACTGTTCTATAATTTACAGTCTTAGAAAGTTTCCTGAGGGAACTCAGAGATTAAATGGCTTTGCCCAGGCTCACACAGTCCATGAATACAAGCAGAACTTAAACCCTGGCTGCAGAGACCAGCTTTTTTTAATCACTAAACCAGACTTCATCTCAGTTAAAGATATTCATACATTATGATAAATTAAAAAGTTATTTACCATTTCATTAACAATAGTATTTCTTTGATGCACACACTTGTTAATATAAGTTAAGTACAGCCAGGTCCAAGTTAGTGGGAACAATAAATCCCCGGAAGTGTCTCTATGTGTTCACATTTTCACTATTCAAAGTTATAATTTTATAAAATATTGTAATTGGTTCCAGCTGAATGGAAACATGGAGTCCAAATTCAAGTAATGTGACTATTTTAAGGGATTCATTGTTCACACTAATGGAGACCTAGCTGGAGCTGCATTAGATACGCCATCACTCTTGGGATTTAGCAGAACTTCCTGGCCAGTCCAGACAGCTACATTAATAAGTTGTGGCTTTTTTTTTTTAAATATACTCAGGAAATATGAGCAGTCTTTGGTTTGCACAGTAAATATGTTACTGTTCCCTAACTTCTGGGCAATTTATCACAAATGTTAGCTGAATTGAGTAAGATAACCAAAAAGTGGAGGAGAGAATGAAGCTGACGATTTTGCACATCTCTGCCTCAAATCCAATTCAAGCTCCTCTCTCAACATGTGAGTGCTCTGTCCATAGAAATATAATCTTTGGTTGCTTGTATTTTGTAAGAGATTTGGAGGTTTGGAGGTTAGAATTTTTTAATTTTAATTTTTTTTTCAGAGCTTGGAAAGTTTACTTTTGGTCCTATGAAGTTTTCACTTATGATTTCTTGAAATATACCTCTGAAAAAAACAGGCTCTAAAAAGCCTATTTCAAATGTTTCAAATTGTTTCATTATGTTTCAAATGGAGCTACTTTGATTATACCTTTATATCCAAATCAGTTTGACTTTCATTGAATGGCCAATAACAGTCACCAGCCCAAGCCTCTGTGGCTCATTTTTTAGGTTTTTGATGGCTTAGGATGATTGCAAACAGCAATATTTTTGTGATCATCTTTTGTCTCAATTCTCACCTAAGTCCTTAGTCATTGAATGGCATTGTCTCAGACAAACTGAGACCTGAGAAAGACCTTAATTTAGAAAGGCTAAGGTCAGCCCCTGCGTCCTCACCATTGCCAGTCATCTTGACCTTTGTCTTGCCACTGGACTTTGACGACTGGAGGACAGAGTGAGGCTGATGACTTTGTACAGCTCTGTCCCACTCATATCCAATTCATGCACGTTTAAATTCAATTCATGAGCAAGTCAAGACATCATCCTCATGATGTCATTGGTCCTCTTTGAGGACAAAGGACAGAAACCAAAAAGTATTTAAAGAACTACCTGATTGAAAAAAAATTATCATGGTTGACTAAACCAAAAAGGATTTTTTTCATTTGTAATTTATGCAAAGTGATACCGTTTATAATGCTGGTAGCATGAAATAGATATGCAAATCAGATGACTGCCAAACACCTGCTGTCAAGCAATGGAGGCTAAATAGAAACTTCCATTGTGACTGGGTGAAAGTGAAATTCATCACACCTTACATATAGCAGATGCTCAATAATCATTTCTTGAACTGAATTGGAAACATTTTCAATAAGAGGGCACATAGTCTTATCTCTGTGACTTTTTGAGGGTTTTCTTCCCGAGGAGAAAGAAAAAACTTATCATGGTCTCTTTGTTTTCCTACCTGCACTCAAAGGAGAATTATAACATAGGTAAATGAAGAGATTCGAGAAGGAAAACATTGCTACAGCCCACATTTCAGCACTGCAGATTCAATTTAAATTTTTTCAAATCCTGATTTTCTTGAATTTTTTTTTCTTTTTCTGCTCTTTGATCTGTGATTTCATTGGCACAGGGAATTTAGAGAATGGAAAATGAACCGACACAAATAGACAACTCTTCTGTTAATTTATAGTTTAGATAATTGCCTGGCACTGAGGAGTTAAATAACTTGCCCAATGATTACATAGCTTTCATTTGTCAGAGGCATGATCTGAACCCAGGTCTTCCCGTCTCCAAGGCCAGATCTATGACAATGAGGCCATTCTATCTCTCATTGGTCCTTGAGTCATTTAAAGATTAAGACCTGTCTGATTCCATGGAAAATTTATTTTATAATTGTGGAGAAAGTCTACATTTGAGAAATCATGCTGCTGAATTCTAACCCCACTAGTATCAGGGAAAAAATATAACTTGTTACAGATAGATGATGCTTTAAGCAGCTAATGAGGATCTAAAAAAAATTATTAATTACAATAAACAGAGAAAATTGCATGTTTTAATGGCAGATATATCCTGAATATGATATAACTTCTATTCATAAAATTAAAATGTTCAAGACAAGTAATGACACTATTCTAAATGATTTCTGGTTAGCCTTCATACAGATTTCCAAAATCATCATCTTCATTTATATCTATAATTTGATTTTGTGTAAAATTCCAGCAATAAGGCAGATTTTACTTCTGAGAGAAAAGAATTTTCATCACAATTATTCTTGGGTGGTGATATCAGGTGTGCTTCTCAATAAGACCATGCCTGGCATTTGGCTGAGCGGGAGGGACTGTATTCTGGGTCCTTTTCCTTTGGCTTTATTTACCTTTGAAGAGAAGAAGAAGAATATACAGTAACATGCTCCTTCACACAGAAAATGTTTCACCCATCTTCTGTCATTGAGAAAGTTAATCAAAGCAAATTAATAGGAGAGATAAGAATAACTGCTTTCTTCTCTTTCTAGTGGGGAAATTATTAATTGCTATTAATTATAAATTATTAAAAGAGAAATCCTCTGAATTACACATTCTCTCATAATAAAATAATAATAATAATAATAATAATAATAATAATAATAACTAACATTTATATAGCTCCTACTCTGTGCCAGGCACCATGCTAAGCACTTCACAAATATTAACTCATTTTATCTTCACAACAACCTTAGGAGGTACAATTCTTTTACAGATGAGGAAATTGGGGCAAATTGAGTTTAAGTAATTTGCCTAAGGTCTCCTAATTAAGTGTCCTAAGCCAGATTTAAACTCGGGCCTCCAGGCACAGTGCTCGGTGAACTGCACCACCTCACTTCCCCCATAGAACCCATGGTCTAAGAAGAAGACCATGTCCCAACTCTGTGTCACAGACACACAGGCCAAGCTAGGGCTGTTCAAAGACTCAAGAAAATTATAAGATGAATGAGAGACAAAACAGACCACACTACTGTTCTCCCAAAAGTTTGCATATTTGCCAATTCTCCCTCCCTAGCCTTAGCAGTTCCCTTCCAGCAAAATGTAATCTCCTTCAGTCCAAGAACCATTTTGTTTTTGTCTCTGTACTCTCAGCACCTAACACAATACCTTGCACATAGTAGACACTTAATAAAGCTTACAAAGGCCCCATCAAAGCCTTCCCTGATCTCCGCAATGATTATATAGTGTTCTCTTTCCCTAAACAACCTTTATTAGTTATTTGTTCTGTATATTCTTACAGATAGAAGGGATCTGGCACATGTCATTGGCCCAGAAACAGTAGGGCCAAAGTATATATGCTACTGTAGACATACAAGTTGTCTCTCTCGGGGGAACGTAAGCTCTTTGCAGGTAAGGGCTATTTCACTTGTTAAATCTTTGTACCTCTAACAACAAGCACAGTGTTCAACATATAGCAGAAGCTGTAAATTGTTTACTGATTGATCGATTCGTTTAATTGAATTGAATTCTAGATCTCAGAGAGGGAGGTTTCTCTGAGTTCATCTTTTTACCTAATGATACTAACCCAAATTGTATGAGAGAACATTTTCCTAAACTTGTCATCATTCAATCTCTCATCATTTTAAATAATAACAACAGCCAACACTGACTGACATAGTGCTCCGTGGTTTGTGAAGCTTTTTACAACTATTATCTTACTTTAAACCACCTCCCAAAAGACTTCTGTGCTGGTGCTCACTTTCTTTCCAAACTTAGAAAGAGTAAAGGAGAGATGAAATTCATATGATACCCAGATCACCTTTCTGGCATCACCACCCAGGCCCATAGCGTTTGACTACAAACAATACATTACCTGAGAATGCTAAAGCAAAGGCTTAGAGATGGCCCTATGTCCTGGTTGCAGATGCTGAAACTTCTTTTTTTCCACTGGCCTTCAACACAATCACTTCCCCTTTGTAGGGGAGTCGCTTCACTGCAGTAGGCTTGCAAGTCTGGAACAAAACATTACATTTTTCTTTTTTTTTTTTACATTCCATTTTGTGTGTGTGTGTGTGTGTGTGTGTGTGTGTGTGTGTGTGTGTGTGTGTGTAAGTATATATGTACTAGGGGGTGGGGTGTATCGTAGCTTGTCTTCTTTTAAGACTAGATGCAAGTCTCTTCAACCAACTGGGAGAAGTCTAGTTCCCAAGTAATAAATGCAGCTGTGGAAAGAAAATAAGACTTGGACTCAGCAGATCTGAATTCAAATCCTGGTTCTAACTTGTGGACTGTGTAACCAGGGCTAGTCTAATTCCTCTAAGCCTGTTTTCTTATCTGCAAATTAAAGATAATACTTGTGCTACCTATCTCAAAAGGTTGTGAAGAAAACAATTTGGAGATCTTTTACTATAGAAATGAGACAAAATATTCTTAACTTAAAGTTTGAGGGTAAGCAGGAGCCCTTGAGAGATCTTTTCACTACAGTACTGTCTCCTCAGCCCTTTGACAGAAATCCTCTTCCTGGCTCAGAGAGATCTGACCCCACAGATTGTCTGCTGACACTCTTCTCATCCAGCCAAAGATGAGTCCCTTGGACATCACACCCTGTGATGTTTCTTTCCACTGAAGCTTTTCTATCCCTATTCTCTTCCCCCTAAAGCTCCTGCAGTAGTGCTCTAAGCTTCTGGTTGTATTAAATCCCATTCCAACATCTTGAATTTTGGTTGTGTTTTGTTGAGTTGAATTGAATATATTGAATATATCTCAGTTATTACATGAAATTGGTGCCATTTTTTTTTTGAGTCGCTTAAAAAATTACTTCTTGCCAATAGATGGTGCAGGACATAGAGTGCTGTATTTGGAGCTAGGAAGACCTGAGTTAGAACCCTGCTTCTGATGTTTACTGTCTGTGTGACCATGGGCAACTCATTTAGCCTTCTTTGGCTTCAGTTTCCTCATTTGTAAAATGAGAATAGTAATAGCACCTGCCTTACAGAGTTTTTTAGAGGATAAAATGAGATAAATGTAAAGTGCTTTACAAAACACTCATTTAAGTTTTAATAGCTTAAAATTGCACTAAAACTTTGAGACACCCTTACTAAGTTCTGATGATAATCATGATGTTCAATAGCACTGTTTTTTAGCGATCTTGAAGGGATGCTAGTTTTGCTCTGTTTCTCTAATGTCAATGCTAATCTTCTCCCTTTCCCTTACCCCTTCTAAGGGCCATGCAGCTTGCATTAGCTGCGGTATCTATATTTCAACTAAAAGAGGAACCTGGTACAAGCATCAGGTGCAGGCTGACTAAACTTGAAATTCTGTTCTAAATACATAATGGACAAATTCACAGGTGTGCAGATATGCATCCCCTACACCCATAGCTAAAACTTCGTACTAGCCACATATGAAATGTTTGTGGAAAAAGCTCCAATAAGACCCAGGGTAAGAAACAACAGAGCCTTATTCCAATCTCAATCCCACTGTTTATTAGCATGGGAGCTTTGGATCTCTGTTTCTGACCAACCTGGGCTGATTCACTCCTCCATAAACAATGATATTAATGTCGGACTTAGTGTGCATTCCTGATTGGCTTAGCCCACTACAGCTCAAAACTCCCAAACTCAAGCAATCTACTAACTTCACCTTCCTAATAGCAGGGATTATAGGCATGTGCCAGCAGCCCAGCTATCATACATTTTTTTAAAAATTAAATTATAGGGGCAGCTAGGTGACACAGTAGGTAGAGCACTGACCCTGGATTCAAGAGGACCTGAGTTCAAATCCAACCTCAGACACATAACACTTACTAGCTGTGTGACCCTGGGCAAGTCACTTAATCCCGATGACCAAAAAAAAAATTACAGTTTTCTAAAGAGAAAAATTACTGCCCCATACTAACATTGTATACTATCTCTCATGATGGGTTTAAAATATTTGAGCTATCTAAGCTTTGGTCCTGGGGAGTTGTCTAGGATATATAAAGGTTAAGTGACTCGTCCAAGATCATATAACTAATAAGTGCCAGAAACAGGTTTGAATCCAGGTCTTCTTGACTCTAAATTCCACACTCTACCTTGCTGCCTCTAAGATTTCAAAATGGAATTATATTTAAAAGGGTTTATCTAAGAAAAATTCCCAATTCTAGGGTGGGTGTGAGTATAGTTGATATGTTTCCAGCATTCTCTTCTATATTTTTATTGATTTTTTAATTAAATTTTATTTTTTCAATTAATAGAGGTCTTATTTCTTTCCCTTCTACTCCCTCATTGAAAAAGAGAGAAAAGCAAAACCCTTGTAGCAAATATATGTTATGCTGTTACTAATATAAACAGCATACGCAATCTATCCAAAGATGTATCTCTAGCATGAGTGATTTTAGAGATCTAGCTCAACCCCCTCATTTGACAAAAGAAGAAACTGAGGTCCCCTATGGAATAAAAGTGCCTTGTCCAAGGTCACACACGTAGAAAGCCACAGAACTGGTATTTGAACCCTCTGATTCTAATTCCAGTGTTCTTTTTACTCTACCACACATTGCTTTGGATACTACCATCAAACAAACTTTTTAGAGTGCTGTACAACTAGGTGGCACAGTGGATAGAGTGCTAGCCGGGTCTGGAGTCAGGAAGACCTATATTCAAATCTGGCCTCAGATACTTACTAGCTGTGTGACCCTGGGCAAGTCACTTAACCTTGTTCGTTTCATTTTCCTCATCTGTAAAATGAGTTGGAGAAGGAAATGGCAAACCATGCCAGTAACTTTACCAAGCTAATCCCAAATGGGGTCATGACTGAACCACAACAATGAATTTTGCTGGGAAAAGAAGACAAAGCATTGACTTATCATCTGTAGACTCAAGATTTGTCAAGTCTATACACATCTTTCCCAGATCTGTATCTCTACCTAGAACCTCTCCTTCTACCACAGCCACCTATTGCCAATTATCTGCTAGATGAAATTTTCATTTGGAAGTCCCACTATTACTGCAAACTCAACACAACCCAAACTGAACTCGTCAATTTCCTCCGCATACTTCCCTCAACCCCTGATTTCTTTATTTCCTATTGATGGTAGCACCATCCTCCCAGTCATCTTTTCTCTTAGTCTATACATTCAATCAATTGTCAGATCCTATTAATTCTTTCTGAGCAGTATCCTTCACATCTGTCCTCTTCTGTCCACTCTGACTTTATCCATTCTAATTCACATTCTCATCTTTTCCTGCTCTAACTATTGTAAAAACCTACTTTCTTTTCTTGAGTTCATCTCTCTCCACTCTATCCTTAATATTCAAGTAAACTTCCTCATGCACCATTTTGATCCTGTTTTTTTTTTTTTATTCAAAAACCTTCATTGGCTCCTCATTACCTAATCTTGGCATTCAAGGTCCTCCACAGTAGGGCTCCAATCTACCTTTCCAGCCTTTTCTCATTACCACTGCCCTTTCTGCACTTTGTGCTATAACCAATGCCTCTTTGCCAATCTGCATACTATCCACCTCTCTTTTTGGTCTTGCCTTCTCCATTCTTCATATCTTATCTATATCATCTCCCATGCCTTGAATCAATTTCACCTCCAGTCTCCATCCGTTGAAGTTTATCCCTTTCTCCAAGGCCTAATTTCAATGTCACTTCTCAGTGAGGCCTTTGCTGACCTCTTCAGATGAAAATGATCTAGCTCTCTGCTCCTTGAAATTTCTCAAAGTCCTTTGGTCCTCTTGTATTTTTTCTTTTCATTTCCCTTTATATCATGGGTATTTGTGTACTTACAATAGATTTTAGTCTTCTTGAGAGTAGGTTCTGTGTCATATCTATCTTTTTATCCATAATAATAATAGTAGGCATTTAATAAATAATGAAGGAATGAAGTATAGATCCCATTCTAAATGAAAATGTAACTACATACTAATAAATAAAATGTGATAAGTTAATGAAAAATAAAAATTCACAGTAGGCCTATGTTTTGACACATTTGCATCATAAAGATAAAAAGCATTTTGATGTATAAGACATAGTTGCTGGAGCCACATTTAAGGAATCTTTAATGTCTTGAGTTTATGATTTCAAAAGACTGTGGGTTTTAGATTGGATTATCCTCATAAGTGAGAAAGACCATGAAAATTGCCAAATAAATTATTTTGAATTTTTTCCTCAGTGATAGCAAATATAGTATGCTTCAATATAGCATAGTATATATGAATCATTTGGTCCAGCAATTATTTCAAGTTAGCAGAGTCTGGGTGAAGTAAATATACCATATTTGAACTCCAGCTTGCTCTCTCCACCCCCTACCTGATATAGATTAAATAAATATGATTAGTCAATTGGACATTTATTGATAAATATGACCAATTAATTCTCTTATGCTTTCATTTGCTAATAATAAAAGCTTCAAGATTTCTTCTCAAATCAATAAGAAGGACATCTAAATTACCAATGGGGACATAGAAAAAAGCATACATTCTTGATGGTTACCTCTATATCAAGGAATCATTCACTTAATATAAAAGTCACTATCCAAAAAAATAATACATTAGGCAAGAAATGTCATCCAGTGAAAGAGAAACAATGAAGTCATCAGTGCACTAACAATCATTTTGAGCAAATGTCAATGTACCTCCACTAAAGCCTTCCCATGCCATGTAGAACGTCACTTTTATGTTGTGAGGTGACTCACCACTTCTCTGAGGCTCTTCAAGTGGAACATAAGCTCTAATAGGTTCCACCAAGTTCCGACTATGGATCTAGTAATGACCATCTATTTCTGCTATCTGAGGACCAGCCCAGCCCAGTTCAGAGAGTTACCATCAAGATGAAATTTTTGGCCACAGCAACTCATGAACACCAGCTACTAATTTGGAGGAGTTGTGATTTGTGTAGGGAGAGAGAATTCCTATGCCAACAAAATTGAATGATTGAGTAGTCTATATTAGTGGGCCTTGTTTACACAACAGATTCTTTTTGAAAGCCCTGAATTTTTATTGAGCAAATCCTTTGAAATGTACCAGAAATCACTAAAAAAAATCTTGTATTTATATAGAATTTCAAGGTTTGCTAATCACTTTCACAAATATGTTTTCTTTTCATCTTTACAACGACCTTGGGAAATAGGTGCTATTGTTATTCCCATTTTACAGATGAAAAATTGAGGAAGACAAGTGATGCATCAGGGTCATGCTGCTAATTAAGTGTCTGAAACTGGATTTGACTCAGGTCTTCCTGACTCCAGGCCCAGCACTCTATCCAATGAGCCACTGAACTTTCTATAATAGCAGCTACCACTTATACAGTGTTTTAAGGTTTGTAAGAATTTTACAAATATTATCTATTTTTTCATCACAATTTGGGAGGTAGGCACTATTATTATAATACTCATTTTACAGATAACGAAACTGGGGTAGAAAGAGTTAAATAATTTGCCTGAGGTCACACAGCTAGTAAGCTCTGGGGCTTACTCAGAATTGAATTCAGTTCTTCCTGACTCCAAGTCCAGCATGCTATCCATTGTACCACCTAGCTGCCTCAAATACTTCAAAACACTTGTGATTCCACTGATGTGGAATGGAACAATCTCTACTGATGCAGCTCCATTAGATAGTGGTTTCATGAGCTATTGCTAACAAAAACTCCCTCATCTAGTGGCTAACCTTCTGGTGGTGAGGCTTTCCAAACTTGGCTAGGCTGCTCCTCCAATACAGACCATCAGCTCTGACAGCCAGGACCACTTCCATAGGATCATGAGGCAAGACAGGTAGATCTTAGTATTAGGTGGCAAGGGAAATAATCACCTCCACTCTATAAAGCTTATAAATCTTGATTTTGAAAATAATATATTGACCTTACTAGTAAGGTAAGAAAGTTTTTTCTGTTGACAGGCAGCTCTTGAAATATTTATGATGCATAAAAATATAAATTTTGCTTGTCCTCTTTTGGATCCCATGCCAATAATGACTTTAGATTTTTAAAAATTTAAATAAAATTACTATTTAATTAGTAAACTCATTAGATCATAACTATACATGACTTTTTGTTTTTTCATACCACTATAATATAGGCACATGACTTTTGGCTTTTGTTATAGTTTCATCCAGCAAAAAGGCTCATTCCTTGAGATTACCCATGACAGATATACCTTGTCTGGAAACATTTTCCTATCTAGCTAGACACAGAAAGCAATTTTTGAAAGTGCATTAGTTTATCATTCAATTTATTAGAATAAGTGCATTAGTTTATTATTCAATTTGTTAGAATAAGAACCATTCCTCAATTAATAAACAATAAAGGATATTAATAGACAGTTTACTAAGGAAGAAATAAAAACAATCAATTACTATATGAAAATTGCTTCAAATGATTAGAGAAATGCAAATAAAGTAAATGAGGTTTCACCTCACATTTATCAGAGTAGCAGAGTTGACAAAAATAGGAAAATTACATGTTAGAGGGATGGCAGGGGGGGCAAGAAGTTATATATTAGTACTGTTGGTAGAGTTGTGAACTGATGTAGCTATTCTGAAGAGCAATTTAGAACTCCATCCATAAAGTCACTAAGTTGTATATATCTTTTGACCCAGTGATAGCACTATTAGGCCTATCCTTCAGAGAGATTATAGAAGGAAGAAAAGGATCCATATGTACAAAAACTTTTATGGCAGCTCTTTTCATAATGATAAAGATATGGAAACTAAAGGGATACCCATGGTTTGGGAAATATCTGAATAAATTATCATGTATAGATGTATAATTATTATACATGTATAATAATATTCTGCCATAAGAAATGATGAAAGAGATGGGTGCATTGAATCCTGGGAAGACTTGTGTGAAGTGATGCAGAGTGAAGTGAGCAGAACCAGAACAATTTACATAATAATAACAACATTGCAAAAGAAAAACAATTTCGAAAGACTTAAGCACTCTGATCAGTGCAATGACCAACCAAGATTTTAGAGGACCAATTAAGTATACTTTCTGCCTCCTGACAAAGAGGTAGTGGATTCAGGGTGCAGAATGACACATATTTTGGAACATAGCCATTATGGTAATTTATTTTATTTTTCTATATATGTTTGGTAGAAGGATTTTTTTTCTTCTCTCTCTTTTTTTTAACAACACATGTAGGAAGAGCTGGGATAGAAAAACTAGACTTTTGTCAATTGAAAAAAAAAATAAATTAAAAATATATTACATTAACAAGAAAAGAGCCATCTATCTAACAATGACTCTTCCTTATGAATATTTAGGTTTAAATACAATTAAAAGCATATACCCAAGAACAACATTTGTTCTCATTCTAGGCCCACTGGGCATACTCTCTAGAATGCATACAGAAGTTTCCCTACTATGTCCCAGACGTGCCCTAGGCCTAGAATTCACCCACTGAAAATACTTTCCACTCCTGTGACCTCTTCCTCTGATTGGGTAGTTTCTCCCAGAATGTCCATTCATGGAGAGAAGCCCAGGCCAGCTGTGTCTTCATTCCTTTCCAGGCTGGATTCTGGACTTTCTCTATCATGCATCTGAGTACAACCATTCTCCTTCCCTTTCCTGAAACATTTGCAGCTTCCTTCTGTGTGTTTTCTTCCCCCATTAGAATGCAGGCTCCTTGAGGGCAGAGACTGTCTTTATATTTATATTCCCAGTTCTTAGCACAACACTTGACACATAGTGAGCAAATGCTTGTTGACTGACTGACTGACACATGAAATTCAAAGAGATAGAATTGAGAGCGAGGAACTCAAAAGTTGGTGGGCTTTACAATGGAAGTCTATTCTGTATAGATTCTTCTATACTTACCTGATCTCTCTGTTTGATTCGTTTGTAAACATATTCAGCAAATGGTTTCCGAGGAATAAATTTTCCATCTCCTGCATTGACATTAAAAACTCCAGCTTCATATACCACTTTGCCTCTTGAAATAGTCACAACGGGTACCCCGTGACAGACCATTCCCTCAAATATATTGAAGTCAACAGCTTGATTATGAGTTTTTGCAGAAATAGTCCTGTATTAAAAATGGAGAATAACATTACTATCATCATAATCACTCTATTAGGAGGATCCACTTAACTATTTTTTAAATGGAAAAGTAACATGAGGGGAATGGCTTGGTTTGTTTGTTGAAAAGCAACTGATGGGTCAAGACAAAATGTTTCAAAAAAAGAAAGAAAGAAAGAAAAAAGGAATGAATAGTCTTCCATTATTTTTAAAAAGAAATCTCTAGCTCATTAGTCTTTTTCTGAGTGGAACATAAAATACTCGAAGACGAATGGCTTAGGAGAAAACTTAGGAACTCCATTAAACCATAGCTTTATCACATTCTGAGAAGTGACTACAAAAATTGAATATGACATTAATATTTCACCACTAAGTAATTAGGCTTCCTAAGAGCATAAAATCAAATAGGCAACTGTTTCCATTTATTAAGGCAGGGGGGAAATTTTCCTTTGGGTTTAAATTTCTATTTTTATAATTTTGTCTTAAAAAGTTGGATTTTTAAAGAATAATTTATTTTGGATGGTTATTCCTTCCCAAGAAGAAAATCAGGGAAAAAAATGTAAGCCCTTACTGTTTCTGTTTTTTTTGGTGAGGCAGTTGGGATTAAGTGACTTGCCCAAGGTCACACAACTAGTAAGTATCAAGTGTCTGAGGCTGGATTTATACTCAGGTCCTCCTGACTCCAGAGCCAGTGCTCTAACCACTATTCCACCAAGCTGCCCGGACAAATCACCTTTGTCCCAAGAACTTTCCCCTAACCCTCACTCCCAATTTTCCAAAGTTCTAGGCTTAAAAAGTAAGAGCAAAAGATACCTGGACACATCCAAATAGTGGTTTGAAATTATATTTTACATAAAAAAGGCTCAAGAGATTAAAGCAAAAGGGAATTCATGGAATCCCAGCATGCAACAAGGATGCCTTCCCATTATCATATAGACCCTGAGTACATTATAACAATGGGGTTATTTTATAGTACATCATAAGAATGGAGGGAATTTTTCAGGAACCCCTCTTTGCACCAGTTCTGGTTGTATGAGATCCTTGTTTGTGTATACTAGAAGGCTAATAGGTTAAGGCTGTATATCTGTAAAACCATACCAAATAAGAACTGGCAATAAAGTAGGAGCCCATCAATTTTATAATGGTTAAACAAAGTGTGGTACATGAATATGAATATTACTGTGCCATGAGAAACTATAGACATGAAGCAATCTAGAGAAGCCTGGGAGGCCTTATGTGGACAGAGGATGCAAAATAAAGAATGCAGAGTCAAGAAAACAACATTCACTGCAACTATAGCAATATAAATGCCAGCAGCGAGGTAGTGCAGTGGATAGAGTACTGGGCCTGGAGTCAGGAAGAATAATCTGGCCTCTGATATTTACCAACCGTGTGAGCCTAGACAAGTCCCTTAACTCTGTTTGCCTGAGTTTCTCATCTGTAAAACAAGCTGGAGAAGGAAATGGCAAATCACTCTAGTATCTTTGCCAAGAAAAACTCCAGTGGGGTCACAAAGAGTCAGACATAAGTGAAAATGACTGAACAACAACAAATAACAATATAAATAGAAAGAGCACACAGAAAAATTGAACACTGGGTAAATATAATGACCAAGGGTGTCCCCAGAAAAGAACCGAGAAAATACATCTCCCTCTTCTTTATTTTTCATAAGTAAGAGAGACCATGGGTAGTTAATATTGCACATACCATCAGAAATGATCCATCATAGACTTTGATCTGGAAGAGACCTGAGAAGTCACTGAATTCAATCCTCTCATTTAACAGATGAGGAAACTGAGGTCAAGAGAGGTTAAATGGCTTGCCTAGAGTCACATAGTAAGTGTCTGAGACAGAATTTGAACCACTGACTCCAAGTGATATGTTGGTGGGTTTTGCTGAACTGCTTTCTTTTTTCTTTCTTTCAAAAAATAATAACAACTATCATTTATAGAGCCCTTTGCATATGTTATTCCATTTGATTCTTACAATAACCCTGTGCAATAGGTACTACTTTACAGATAAAAAGCTAGGGTCAGAGAGGTACTATTATTATTATGTTCATTTGACAGATGGGACAACTAAGTGGTTATCCAGGGTCACAGAGTTAGTAGGTGTCTGGGGAGGAACTTCAGCCTAGTTCTTCCTGACTCCAAATGACGCGTTGGCTAGTTTTGCTGAACAATTCATTCTCTCTCTCTCTCTCTCTCTCTCTCTCTCTCTCTCTCTCTTCTTTTCTCCCTCCCTCTCAAAACAAACAAACAACAACCCTTTATTACAAGGGATGCCTGGTTGGGTAGGGAAGGGCAGGAGTGGGTATTCCTGGTGGATATACTCAGAAAGGAAAGTGATGGAGAAACGAAAGACAGAAATAAAAAGGTCATGCATTTAAAAACCTACATTGCATTAAATGGAAATTACCCAAGAGCATTGGATCCTACCTAGAATACTGCCGGTGTTCAGGAACAGTTCATTTTTTTTTAAAGGTAATATCTCAAACTTTCATTATTAACTACCTTATATCAAAATCCTATGACCCACCTAACCATACATACTTATTATTTATGTAAGACTTTTTATATAGCAGGTGCTTTTAAATTTTTTTGAATTGAATCATACACTCTCTCTACCAATGCAGATTGCCAACTATCCAGAACTTATATTCTTATAGAGTTGTCAAGAGCACTGAGAGGTTAAGCAACGTGCACATGGTCAAATAGTCAAATGTGCTAGAGACAGCACTTAACCCAGCCACACTTCCCTTCTTTCTGAATTCCTTCCAAAGCCAACCTCGTAGCCCACTACCTGACTCTTATACAACATTTAGACTCTTTTTAAGATCTCATTTCATTTGATCACCACATTAAGCTTGTGAAGTATTTAGGAATGGCAATGTTATTCTTCTTTTGAAGATGAGGAGAATAAGACCCAGAGATATCCCCCCCCCCAAAAAAAACCCTTATGCAAGGTCACACAACTAGCTAGTGGGAGAGTCAGGACTAGACCCAAACCTCCTGACTACATATATAGTCTTTTCTGCCATAGCTAATTGCCTCTTACATAATTGAATCCCCAAGTTAGAAGATGGATCAATACATTTGGGGACTGCAGGAAAGAGGAATTATTTATGTCTGAGAGAAGCAGGGAAAGGGTCAGGGAGGAGGTCACATCTGATCTCAACGTTGAGGAAAGAGAAGGGCATCAATAAATGAAATGGCATAAGGGAAGTAAAGTCTATTGTAGGCATGAACAAAGAGATGGAACTGGGGGAAGGCAGACAAGAATCAAGCAGGCAAAGATTTATTAAGCGTATCTGAGGTGTCAGGCAAAAGTGAAATAAATAGTTCCCATCCTCAAGGACCTTTTAGCTAAGGGGGTTAAAATACACACACACACACACACACACACACACACACACATGAGTATATATACATGTATGTATTGTATACATGTGTGTATTATATAGTGTATTGTATGTATATGTACACACAGAGACATAAATACAGAGATAAACATAGATATATACAGATATATGTGAAAAACCTATATCAGTACAGACAAAGCATATACAAGCAACCTCAGAAAGGAAGGTACTATCAACAGGCCTAGACTAAGGATGAGGAAGACTGCAAAGAATAGTTTGACTGGAGCACAGCAGGGTATATGTAGAGGAAGAGGCTAGAAATGTAAACTGGGTTAGATTGCCCCCAAACTACCTTTAACAGCAGGATAACGAGTGTATATTTTTATTTGTCAGACAATGGGGAGCTACTAAAGACTCCTGAGTAGTGCAGAAATGGGATTAAACTAGGGCATGATAATCATAGCATCATAGATTTAGGGCTAAAAGGGACCTTAAAGGCCATTCTAGTCAAACACCCTAATTTTACAGATGAAGAAACTGAGGCTTATGGAGATAAAGGGACTTTCCCAGGGTCACCCAGGTATTAAGTGCTAGAGGTAGGATTTGAAACAGAACCTGGATCCTGGGTCCTCTGACTCCAAAATGAAAAAAAATCACTTTGGCAAAAGGGTGAAAGGTAGATCGAATTTGGGAAAAGAATGGAAGTCGGGAGACCAGCTAGGGGGCTATTACTATTGCTCAAGAAATATTTTAACTTATTTTTTTAAATGACTCTAATATTTATTAAATGGCACTCTTAGTAGTCTGAAAGAATTAAGGTACTAACTCCCATTCAGAAAGTTCTTATTCCATAAGCACTATTGTCCTGTTCTTTTTATTTGGGGTTTCGTTGGTATCAGGAATTCTCAGAAGAGGAAATTCCCCCTATCAGTGTAATTCAGCACCTTCTCAGTAACTTAAGAGTCTTAGTTGTCTAGGGCAGTGGGACATTGAGACTTGACCAAGGTCATACATGCAGTATTTATCAGTGATGGGACTTGAACCCAGGTCTTCCTGACTCTGAGGTCAGCTCTCTTATCTGTTATTCTACGCTTCCACTAGTTATCGCTTATTAAAATAATAATAAAAACAATTTGAATTTATATAACTTGAACCACAGAGCTCTAAGATCTTTCTGGTATATGTTTTAACTACCCCTAAACACAATTTTTTCTTGGACTTTTCAGCTATTGTTATGTCATGGCCAATACACCTTAGGCATAGTTAGCATAATTATTAGGGAGTGATTAACAACAGTGGAGCAACAGTGTCTTTTCCTCCTGTAAATTTCCAAGAAAAGAGAACATTTCCACGCCCAGGGATGACAGGGAGGAGGATTTTTAAAATGCTCATTTGGGAAAATAACACAAAAGTTACTTTTCAAGCAAAGAACTGCAGATTTGGCCAATGATCATAATCTTTTATTAAAAAAAAGAACACCAAAAAACATGGTCACTATTGAAAACTGTGACAGCCTCTGGCTTTCTTTCAGTAACTGTTTTCTTGGGCATTGTCTAATTCTCTTGGCCCTCAAGTCATTCTTTTCTTTTCTTTAAGGCAATTGGGGTTAAGTGACTTGTCTAGGGTCACACAGCTAGTAAATGTCA